TGCAGCGCGGTACCGCCCGTGAGCCGCGCCGGTTCCAAGCCCGGTTTGTATTTAAGTGGGAGCCTGAGTTGATGGGGCACGTCAGGAGCCACGTACCGAGTTCTGTTCACGCAGACGAGCATTTTGGGAATTGTTCCACTGCTGTGGGGAGTCTCAGCTTCCCAGCTGCTCCGCCGCCATGCCCGCAGCGGCCGGGGGGCAGGCGGGCAGCGCTTCTCCGCAGCGGGGCTTCACCACCTGAGCTCTGGCCACCAAGCACCGAGGGAGTGAAAGCAGTGGACACTTCACAAAATCAACTGAAACAAGGCCGCTGTAGAACTCGCCAAACGATGCGCTGAAAGCACAGAATGTTGTGTAGGCCAACAAAAAGGGCTATTTTTCAATTACCGCGCTGCATGACTTGTAGATTTTAACTTCCCTTGTTTCCTAAACAACCAATAATACTTGCATTTGTCAAGTAATACTTAACACCGCGTTTTCCAGTTTTAAGTTGCTGTTGTAGCACCTCAGCTGACTTTAACTGAGAGTTACAGTGTAAAATCCACCAACTCACAGCTGATCCTCACTTTTCCCGACCGGTGCTCTGTAGCAGAATGCTCTGTCTCGGGTTGGCTCGTGGCGCGTTACTCACTGTGTACATTTTTTACCTGTAGATACCCATAATATCTGCCGAACATCTGACTAGCCACAAGTATGTTACACAGATGTAGACCTTTTGTCATCAAACAGTTAAGTTCCCTGTGGGTTCTTGCATGCATTTTTCTTACCTTTATGTCTGCATAATTTGTCATTTTTCAGGGACAGAATTCTTTTATTTTCTTTCCAAGAAAACTAATGAGGGAGGGGGGAGAGGCTCTGTGCTCCGCAGGCCGGAGATCCCTGCGGGCAGGTCCCACAGCGACCACGTTAGCTTGTGTGTGGGAGCAGATGTCAGTGTTCATGGAATCACAGGATGGTCACTCCCTGCCCTTGGGAAAAGCCCCCCCAGGCACTGGAAAGGGCTCTGAGGTCTCCCTGGAGCTTCCCTTCTCCAGGCTGACCCCCCCAACTCTCCCAGCCTGTCCCCAGGGCAGAGGGGCTCCAGCCCTCGGAGCATCTCCGTGGCCTCCTCTGGACTCGCTCCCACAGCCCCGTGTACATCATCGGTTTGTACGTCCCCATACAGCACAGTCGGAGAGCCCAAGGTTGCCGTTCTGCGTTTTGTTTACCAGGGCTGATGGCTCCAGCGCTGACGTGAGCCTGGGGTCAGGTCTCGCTGGCAGGTTACGTCAGGCTGCCCTCAGGACAGACTTTACAGCCCTGTAGCTGGAAAGTCAGCGCCTCCGAAATTCGGGGTCTAGTCTCCCGCCTAGCTGACGCCTGATTTCTCTGGCACATGGGGGGTCAGGGCGCGATGCGTTAGGCACAGTATTTTCCTGGCATGGGTGCCGTGGGAAGGAGAGGTCCCACCGCCCGGGCACCCTTCGTACCCGCAGCGTGGGTCAGCTCTGTGTGCTGTAACCCCTCCCTGCTCAGCCTGAAACCCAGGTTTGTGTGCCCAAGCTGAGGGATTTCTGTCCCCGCATCTCCCTGTGAGTGAACTGCCGCCTCCAGGCCGTCACTAAATGTCATTAAGACCCCCCAGCACATCACCCCCAGCAGAGCCTGTGATTATGTTGCCTTTCTCTCCCTCACTCTCCACTTGGGCTGTGGCTTCTGACCGCCCGGCCGTAGTGGGGTTGTTACTTGGGGTGAGGAGTAACTGGTGTGCCCCGGGGGGTTACAACAGGAGTTACTCCTCGCCGCTGAGCAGGGACGTTGTTCAAGTGCGTGAGTGACCGGGGTGGGATGTCCCTTACCTCCAGCCCAAGTTTCCCTGCTGGGGTTAGCTGGGACGGGGCGTCCCATGGCAGGGACCGTCCCGAGGAGGAGTCGCTCTCGCGAGGTGTCTGGGGTGATGGCAGCAGAGATGGCGACGTGGCCACGCTAGATGGGCAGTGAAGGGAGAAGAACCACCTTGGGGACCCAGGGCCCGGATTTCTGAGGATGTGAAGTCTCTCAGGCGTTGGTCGGGCTCCCGGGTTTCACCGGGCAGTGGGACCTGGGAAGAGAGAGGGGCAGGGGGCGCTTTGTGGGGAGCAGTCTCCCAGGGTCTGGGCTTTGGGGTCTGTTCTGAGCCCCCCCAGATTCTGATCCCTTGGCTGGGGGCTCGCAACAGCGGAAGGCCGGTGTTCTGTAACGTTTGGGCTGATGTGCCAACAGAAAGTCCTGACCGTTGAAAAATGCTGCGTGTTCTTTGCTTTCTAGATCATAACTGAAGAGAAAAGGACAGTGTGGTGGGGTGGAGAGGAGGAGAAGCTCATTAGCCATAATGTAAATACCGTCAGGCGCCACCCGGAAACTCCCTCAGCAGTACGACATCCGCACCTTGCATGTTAACGAGACGGAACGAGAACGTGGAAACCCACTGCACACTGTTGCCTATATACTTTGTACATTTAATTGGTATTTGTGCTGAGGTGATCTGATTGTCTAAAAACCACAGCATCGTCTGGCTTTTCTGGTGCGGAAGCCACGTGTGGGGTGCGAACGTGCGTACGCGGCCTCGTTCCCCCGGCCGCCGCGTACGTCCCCCGGAAAGACAGGCGATGCTGTCCCCATAGATCTATTATGTATTGGTACGTCTGTAGACCAAGATATAATTTTTTTAAAGTAAGTTTATTTCTTTCAAGGTTTACAAATAACAAAGGTGCACCTTGTATTTAAAGTTGCCATTATAGACGAGAGCGTGCATGCACAGTAATTTTCGTTTAAGAGTTAATATTTTTAATGTACTAGATTGTAAGAAGTGGTAAGAGAGGTATCTGACAGAGATGAATGTGCCAAGCAAAACCACAACTGTGTATATTTTAAAGCACATCCATGGCTTTAAGTACCATGTTGTTAAGGATTCCCGTGAAGTGCCATAGACTGTACCTCCCGTTGGAGCGTGACTTCGGCAGTGTTATTTTCAGAACCACCTTTTCACTTCCTGTGGTAGTACTACTCGAAGGGCACCGTTCTGTTCCAAACCAAAGCCGTCTCAGAAATGGCCCCGCTCTTGTCCCGGCAGCAGCGGGCGGCAGGAGGAGACTCCCAGGCGATCCCGCACCGGAGGCGGCTGTCCGCCGGTGGGAGCGCTGTAGTGTCACCGGGGCGTGTTGCACTGCGTGGCATGGCAGGCGAAAGGGAAAAGCCATTTCTGAGACGCAGTGGCAGATGTTGGAGGGACTTTTTTGCTTCTGCGCGTAGCCTCTGTCGGCAGTCGGAAGGACTGTAAGCGTCCGCAGCGATGGGTTTCGCTTTCACTTCCTCACAGTCCCGCTCGGCGCGGTGACTCTAAACCAAGACGGAAGCACTGGCACCGGATGCGTGACAAACCAAAATATGGAAAAGTGGGGGTGTTGATTAGCGTAGAAATTGGGTGGGTTAAATGCTCGGGTGAGTTTTATATGTGACTTTTTTCTGTTGTTCAGATTAACTGCTTATAGCCTTAGAAAGCCTTTACAGACTAAAAACAAAACAAATAGATGTGCATTCAAGTTTTACGAACGGATTCATCCAAAGGAATTCCTTTTTTGGGGTTTGGATGTCGCAGCTAGTAAAGGATATTTTTGCTCTGGTCAGCCAAGCGCTGAGGCGGGGGCCAGGTCACTGGTAGCGTAGCGCGGGGTGGGAGAAGCGCGGGTTCGGTTGTAGAACCCGCCATACTCCCAAGTTTACTGCGAGTTTTTATGCTTGAGAGAGATGCTTTATAGAATGAGAATGATGTGTTGATTTTACTGATTGTACTGTACATCTATTGAAGCCTTAGATTATTACATTACGGGTTAAAACCCATACCAATGTAAGTTCAATCGTGTTAAGAAAGTATAGGTGACTTCACATGTTATTGTAGTTACTAAACATTATAGAATATCACTTGGTTTTTTCTTGTTAAAAGTGTAGGTTTTATTTCTTACATTTATTAGATTGTTTTCATTTTCTATTACCAGCTGATACCGTTTCAGTTTATAGAGTTGTGTTTTACTAGAGTTTACTGATGACTTTTTTCAAAATACAAAAAAAAGGTAGTTTCCTTCATAACGTACTCGGGTTTGAATTTCCATGTAGTGTCATACGAGTATCCGTATTACCGTTAACGAAACGACTTCTGTTTTACTGATTTCCTCTGACAGTGTAAGAATGTCAGTCAGCGTTAGTTCTTGTCTAGTTTTCATTAAAAGAACAAAGATCTTTTATATGGATATCTTATAATTATATAATCATTGCTACGTAAGAAGTTAAGTTGTTGCTATCGCAACAGTCCTGGCAGACAATTGAGTAATATTTTGATGATTTATTTTGTTTGTAATTAGTTATTATGAGAAAAATCTAGATCCTAGATACTAGAGTAAAATTTATTTTCTACTGTATCCATTTCAAATGTTAAAATATTGTTTAAATATTTTTTGAAATCCCTGAATATCAGGCCTTGTTATAAATAAGCTGCATAATCAATAGATCAAGGGACGTTTTGTTGATAATCCAAATACTCAAAGTTTACGTAACGAGGGTTAGAGCGCGTGTGTGCAAACTCGTGAGGGTTGATTATGCTGCAGTTGAGCATGTGGGAGCGTTTAGAGAGAAGGTTGACTTTTTGCACTTCTGTATATAGTCAAAAAAGAGAGAAACCTGTATAATAGTAAGATCTTATTTTGAATAAAAATGTCTATAGTTACAAGGAGTTTTGTTAAGGCTATTAAAATGACAGGCTGAACAAAATTGCTTGCAAAAGTGGCACAGAGTTAGCACTCCATTCCCCTTCAAAAAAGTTGCTTTGCTTTATGTGGACAGCTTGTAGTTTGCCAGGATTTTTTCAGCTGGAAAGATATGCCATCCTTCCAAGATCTCATGACTGACAAAAGCTCCACTGGTTCAAATCTGCCTGAAAACCATTAATTACCGAAAAAAGAGAAAAAAAGGAAAAAGATAAACAAAAAAAGGAAAAAAAAGCAGGTCCTTCCAAGCATCACGGTGAAATCATGGCTCCAGTATTCCGTACGTTACTCAGAAATACTGCATGTGCAAAGTATCGACAGAATATATTAAAGTTATACGCTACTCAGACCAGTTTCTGACGATTTCAGTGGTTTATTGTTCACAAAAGGAAGATTCTTCGGAACCAATGCTGACTTTCACGGAAGAGTTAAATCATGGCCAGGCAAACCCAACAGCACACCGTAGCTGTAGCGTTACGTGGTTCTTTTAGGGCTGTAGTGGTCCTGTCCTTTCAGCGGGTGAAAAAGCCCGGCGAAGCCCCAGAAGCCCTGGGGATCGTGCCCTTCGGAGCGGGACTCGGCGCCAGGCTGGGGAGAAGGGCGACGAGGCCGTTGCTGTCCCCGCGCTCCCCGCCGTCCCTCCGGATGAGGGAGGAAGTTGCACTTCACTGGCAACCCCGCAGCTTTCGCCTGCTGAAAGGACAGAGGTGCTTGGTTTTCCTATTATGTAATCACAGACTTACTTTTTGCTTGTAGTTGCTCCAAATTATGTACTCTGTCCTGGGCTGCAATTTGGTTTTATGCTTATTTTATTATTCCTGCTATAGTTGACCTTGCTGTATGGAAAAAATAAAGTGAAATCGCCCTAATAAAAGTTCTCTTTCTTAATTACGGTCTTGCAGATCAGGTTCAGAATCGCAGCGCCTCCTTTTGTACGCGTCCTTCGTTTTACCCGCGGTCCGTTGACGGGGGGTGTTTATTTGGGGGGAAAAGCCCCTTTTGTGCTGGCAGCGGGGTTTTCCCTTCACCAGTGCGCGTGGTCCGTTAAATACAGACTGGCAGAACGAGTCTGGGTGCGCTCTCCTGGCTCCCAGCCCTGCGCCGGACCCTGGTTTCCCTGGCATCGGGCCCGCGGGGAAGTTGTGCCCAGGGAAGCTGTGGACAGCACAAGGGGTGACGGGTTTG